TTTCTGGGTTGATGAGAGCCTCCTCCAGTAACAGGTGATAAAAAAGCATCAGTTAACTTGGTAGGTGCTCTGGGAATTTGGTCAGTAATATAACTGGCCATCCTAAACATCTCAAGAGGTGGAGCGGTTGAGTGGGAAGAATAATAAACAAGGAGAGCTAGTGGGAAGAACAGGGATAAAATTAAAGAAAAAAAAAAACCTAAAAATTTTTGTAGTGAGAAAAAAAAAACCCTCTTTAATTTGAAGATATACATGGTAAAGAACAAAATCAAAGTATAAGAATTTGGAGTCGGCAGAATCAGGTCAAGTTGTTGCTAAAAATATGGGGATGGCCCAAAGCCAACAGTTCCCTGGCGGTCCCCAGTACTGAGAGCTGACCAGACAGAACGAGCAATGCAGAAGAGGTGATAATTTGTCTCAAATACTAAGGTGCACAGCCACTCTGGGGAGCTCTGATCTCAATCCTCCTTCTTCCTCAAAATCTAAGCTCTTCTTGCAGAAGGAGGGACTGTGCTGATGGGTATCTTCCGCCTCCACAAATCTGACCAGGAGTTTGCGCTCTCCTTCATTTTGTCAGCGTGCCCAGAATGTTTGCTGGATGTTACACTAATCCCGCATCTCAAATCCTGACCACCTGGATGGGCAAGGATGCCTTCGATCTACATCTCTTCAGGACTTGCCGCAAAGCAGACTTCTCCAGGAATGTGGGATTTCCCTCTGCTTCCATAGGGAAAAGGGCTGGGTACACAGGGCAATAGCCAGCTCAGAGTCTGGCAGGAAACTCGATGGTTATGAAGGTTGGGTTCCAACTCCTTCTGGTTGTTCGAGTCCCAGAAACATTATTTTTAATGTGAAATTTCTCCAAGAAGTTCATGAGAATAACTTTAAAGTTTCAAGAAAGTATCTGGTAAGAGCGGGCAGTTTTCAACTTCAGAGACTATTAAAAAACCACCACAGATCCCAGTCACGTTAATATACTTTACAGGCGACTTAGGATGGCCACAGCGCTGGGTGCCTAAGGCCACGTTGAACCGGCCGAGCTGAAACGTTGATCACTGGATTCAGAAAAAGTTCTCCCAACAATGTTGAAAATATGGAAGCAATTGTAAAACCACTTTCACCGGTGCAATATCCTTCTTCATGAATTTCCCCAATTATATAGCTAGAGTTTCATTGTTGATAGTTAGGTGGCCATAATTCCAGGCCGCGATTTCACTCTGCTGAAAGGTATGGGGCTATCTTTGTCTTCTCTTCCTCCTGTTGCTTAAACCATGCAAGAAAACATCAAGAAATGGGAGAAAGGCAAAACAGAAGGGAGAGACCTTGTTCCAAGGGCTGAAATCCACCACCTGAGAAAAACCAAGTTGCCAACCATTGGGGTTCCCGCCGCGCTCCCCGTCCTCCATCCGTGCAATGGGCTCACGTCCCCTCTCTGAGGAGGACACAGGTAGACGGCCTCAGCCCGCCGCAGAGACGCCAAGGAAATTAATCGCCAGCTCTGTCGGTCTTGGAACTTCTGAAGGCTTTCTGGCTCCTCTGAGGAAGCAGACCCAAATCCACCCGCGTCGGTTCGCCTCCTGGGAGCGACAGGACACGCTCACGCGAGTGGCAGTGCCTGCATTTCGGGCTTCCCGGCTTTACAGGGTTATCTGGGGGGCTCTCTCGGCGAAAAACTGCAGAGGAGAGGGGCGGGGGACCGACTGGGAGCAAAGGCGCCGACGAAGGAGACGCGAGGGAGCGCTGAGCGCGGGCGGAAACCGCGGGCGGGAAAGCGCTGCTGCCGGCGGGCCGCGGAGCCCAACAGGGCTGGG